GCGGGGGTTGGGGGAGCAGCCACTGAACTTCACAGTTGAGTGGATGCTGTCCTGGCCCCCCATAGCCCCTGGGTAGCGAACTCGGGGGAGTTGGCTGTCCAGCATAAAGGGGTCCGGGATGGAAGGCTCGTCTGGTGTTCGGCGAGCCTCACGTTCGGAGTCGGGGGACCGATGTGTCTCCCTTCTCGGGGAGTGGCTGCGCAGGGCGCGGCCAGCCGCTGGTGGAGGCGCGGACGAGTGCAACAGCGTACCCGTACCCCCACCTACAGCGGAGAGGAGGAACACCCCGGGGATTTAGTGCGGTCGGGCTGCTCCCTTTCAGGGTTCAGCCCAGTCCCACATAGCCCCGGCTCTGCCCCGGCGGGGCCGGGGTATCTGTAAGCAGATTCCCCCGGATTAACAAAAAAAAGGTAGAGCTACTCCTCCCCCCGAATTGGTTCCCACCTTGTCGTGGCCGGGGGCTCTAGTAGCCGTGGTCGATTTCATCCCACGGTGAACCGAAGAGGAACCCACATAGGAGGGCATACCACGCGGGCTCGTCTTGGTATAGGGCGAGCGGAATCGCGCGGTTGCATTCGGGGAGGAGGGTCGCGGGGAAAGAGACGTGTCGGTGTGTCGTTGCCACTCGTCCTGTCCTCTTTGACCGTGGCGGGGCTGCACCGCTTAGGGTGTAATGCAGTGGCAGTGCGGCCGCGGGGGAAGAGACGTGTCGGTGGGTCGTTGCCGCTTGTCCTGTCCACCGCGGTCGAATTTGGGCGATTGGCCCATGCAGTGGGCGCTCCAAGGGACTCTCTTAGGAGAGTCCACACGAATGCGTGTAGGGTGTTGCGGCGGAGCCTACCAACAGATCCAACGCGGGGGCTGGGAGAGCATCCTCTGAACTTCACAGTCGAGGGGATTTTGTGCTGGCCCCCATGACACTTGGGTAGCGGACGCGGGGGAGTTCGTTGCCCAGCATGGAGGCGCCCGAAATGGAAAGCTCGTCTGGTGTTCGACGAGCCTTACATTTAAAGTTGGGGGGTCGTTGTGTCTCTCTTCTCGGGGAGGGGTTGCGCTGGGCGCGGCCAGCCGCTGTTGGGGGCGTGGACGAGCGAGAGCGTACCCGTGCCTCCACCTGCAGTGGAGAGGAGGAACACCCCGAGGGTTTGGTGCGGTCGGGCTGCTCCCATTCAGGGTTCAGCCCAGTACCACATAACCCCGGCTTTGCTCCCGCGGGGCCTAATATATAATAAATAAATAAAAAAAGTAATAAGTAATAAAAAAAGAGTAGAGTTACTCTAGGTTTGAATCTCAAAGATCTTCCACTGTGCCCAACAACTTGAGATAAAAAGTTGACAAGTCTTCATCATCGCCATCATCATCAAACCATTTGTACGACCTACTGCTAGGCACGGATCTGCTTCGCAGTGAGAGTTTCAAGTCATAGTCCACCACGCTGGCCCAATGCGCGTTGGGGACTTCGCACGTTTATCGAGAGTCGTGAACCTTCTTCGACGTGCAGATTTCTTCAAGATGTTTTTCTTCATCGGAAAGCTCATGGTAAACTTCAAATTAAATTTGGCGCATAATATCCGAGAAACTAAGAGGTGCGAGACCGGATTCGAACCCACAACGTCTGTTTGAGAGACGGTAGGTCAAACCATTAGGATACCACGGCTATATCTATTTAAAATACTATTAGTATTTACTACCAAAATGTTGAGAGCATTAGAGGTAAGCTTACTAACGTTTATCTAAATAGTCTTTCTAATGATTATTTTCTGATGATATAGTTATATTTACTGAGTCCTGGCTGAACGATAGTGTCTTGGATACTGAAATTTTAAATAATAACTATACCATATATCGTAGAGATCGCGATGAGCTGACGAGCGTTAAACTTGATGGCGGTGGTGTAATGATAGGAGTTTCTAACAAGCTGAACTCAACTCGTCTTACCCATATTGAGAGTGACATTGAAGACATTTGGGTGTCTGTATCTTTAGGAGCTTCTTATGAAGTACTATTATACGCAGTATATATTCCCCCTCCTGTTACAGCATCTTTTCTGGAAACGTATTTCGATTCCTTAAGTAATACCTTGTCATCTATTGATAATGATAACATTCTCCTTTTCGGAGATTTTAATCTTCCTAAAGTGACGTGGATTAACGATCCTTCATGTCCTGAATTAATGTTAGTATCACCTAAATCAACGAATTCTTGGTCTGCACTCGTTTCTGACTTTATGGCGCTGCATAATCTGTCACAACATAATACTATTCTTAATAACAATAGTCGGCTGCTCGACTTAGTTTTTTCGCGTGGCGTTAGCTTGACTTGTGATATGTCTGTAATCCCGTTATCTAAATAACATAGTCAACATCCAGTTCTTCTTTTTAATTTAAAGGTTCCTACTTGTCACAATTTATCCAAGCTCTCTATTAAAAAGTACAATTTTTATAAAGCTGATTATAAAATTATAAATACTGCATTAGGTTCCATTTGCTGGGAGGAAGCTTTCGCGGGCCTCGATTTCGTTGATGACATTGTTGATAAATTTTATAAACTAGTACTTGATATTATTGACAAACATGTTCCTAAAACTATAGCTAAATCTAAAAAATTCCCCATGTGGTACTCTAAAAATTTAATAAAAGTTATTAAAGAAAAGGATAAATTTAGGGCCAAGTTTAAGAAATACGGTAACAGATTAGACGAATTTGAATTCATTAATGCACGCGAACGCTGCCATAAGTTAATAACTATTTGCTACAAGGACTATTTGAGGGGAATTGAATCCTCTATTAAACTTTCTAACTTGAAGCCCTTCTGGTCTTACATCAGTTCCAAAAGGAAGAACGCTTGCTGTATACCGTCGGTTATGTCCCTTAATGATAACTCGTTTTCTTGTCCGAAATCAATATGCGATGCATTCGCCAATCATTTTTCATCTGTTTACATACGTGACCTGTCTACAAGTTCGTCAAGCAATTTGATCTCCTCTAATACACTTCCTACAAATGTTTTATCTAGTTTTCACATTGATACTATGACACTGGAAAAATCTATAAAAAGGTTAAATACTAAGCAAGGACCTGGACCGGATGGTATTCCAGCCGTTTTTATTGCTAGTTGTAGAAAAACCTTACTGCGACCGCTTTCAATCATCTTTAATATGTCTTTAGATTGCGGCATTTTTCCTGCTCGTTGGAAATTAGCTAATGTGATACCTATACCTAAATCTGGTTGCCGTAATAACATTCAAAATTATAGACCAATTTCCTTGTTGCCAGCCTTTGGAAAATTATTTGAGTCGATTGTTGTACCCATCTTTAATTATCACTTTAAGTCCATTTTGACCCCCGCGCAACATGGTTTTCGTACTAATATGTCCACTACCTCTAATTTGGCTTGTTATGTTACAGATCTTTCAAAAAGCGTAGATGAGGGTCGACAAGTCGATGTTATTTACACGGATGTTAGCAAGGCATTTGATCGAGTAGATCATGTAATACTCCTCCAGAAATTGGATTTCTATGGTTTGCATGGGAAAATTTTGAACTGGGTTGCATCTTATCTGCACAAGAGATCCCTAAGGGTGGTGGTTGGTGGTTGTGAATCAGACCCTTTTATTGCTTCCTCAGGAGTTCCCCAGGGCTCTCACCTGGGTCCACTACTTTTCCTTGCCTTCATAAACGACCTCGGTTGTGTGATAGACCACTCTAAATTTAACTTTTTCGCTGATGACTTAAAAATCTATAAAATAGTTGATTGTTTGAATGATTCCTTTTTGCTACAGGAGGATCTTAATAGAATTTCAGTGTGGGCTAGGGATAACAATCTACCATTGAACACCAAGAAGTGCTTGCATATTAAAATTACCAAAAAAAAAAATACCTTTCCCTACGTCATACTTCATTGAAGGAACGGTTCTGGAGGAGGTTAACCGTGTTAGAGATTTAGGAGTCGTTTTTGACAGCTCACTTTCTTTTAAATACCACTTTGACAGCGTCATTAATAGGTCTTTCAGATTGTTGGGTTTCGTGTGGAGGAATTGTAAGTCCTTCAAAAGTATTACTACATTGAAAACCATTTATTTTGCCTTGGTTCGTATAAATTTAGAATATGCTTCTCCAATTTGGAATCCTATGTACCAAAATCAAGTAGACCGCATAGAAAAAGTTCAAAAGCGATTCCTCTTTTTCCTCACTGTTCATCAACGAAAGCTGCATTTATTGAGAAGTTACGAGGACCGCCTAAAAGAGTTTCGAATTGTCAGTCTAGAACGTCGACGCTGGGTTGCGGACCAAGTTTTCCTTTACCGTTTGATTTCCGGGCAAATAGATTGCCCTAAACTTTTATTTCAACTTCGGTTTTCTATTCCACGTCGTAACGCCAGGCCACGTACTTATTGTCCATTTGTAGTTGATTGGTCCAGAACGAATGTCGGCTCTAATGCTATTATTATCCGAATTTGCCGTGAGTACAACAAATTGCATAAGACATGTAGATGTGTTGACATACCTCATGATTTAGATTTGTTTTCTTTCTCAGTGTATAAATTTAAAGCTGCATTACTTAAACTCTCTGTCTGTGTTTAAGGTTCAATATTAGTAATACTTCTTTTTATGTCTGTTATTTTACTGATTACATTTTAATTTTTTTTTTTTCTCACAATGTTTGCAACCTGGCCCAATTATTTGTTATATGTAAAATGATAGCATTAACGTTTTCGATGTGATGCCATATGCGCATGTTGTATTTGCCTGTAATTGGGTTTACACTCTAAAATGTATATAGTGTTATTTTTATAATTGTGTGTAATGGTGTATTTCTGTTGGCAAATCTAACAAAAAAAAATAAAAATAAAAAAAAAATTTCTAGCAAATTCGAACACATTCAATACAATACATTCTTTATCTATTTAAAACTTCTAGTATGTTCTAATAAATATGTTATCAATCTGCAACATTTATCACTTTATCTGTCCCAAATAAATACGTTTAAATGAGGCTTGTTCATTCATTGTTTTGGTACACCTGTGGAACTAAACTAGTGTGTTTAATGTTGTTGTTTTAATCGCGAGTATAAGTGTGAATTTAAATTAATACGGTAAGTATTTTTGTTTTTACTCATTACATTGATTTGTTCCATTAATAAACAAATGTTACATTATTAAAAATTAATGTAACGACCTCCATGGTCGAGTACTTGCACACCAATTCCCAGTATAGACCAGGGTTTTTGGTCCATACTGCCCTGTCATTGCGACAAATTCCGCTAGGATCATCGAGGACAGTCTGTACTTTGGCACTCGTAAATTCCCCGAGGATGACGTTACTCAGTGCCGCGTGTTGGGATATCCGGCTGGTACTACGGGTGAGAGGACATGGTGATCAAACTCATCAACAGCATCAACACGCGGGGATATTGATGGGGCTGGAGTGTCCTTGAGTCCAATCTGAGGCAGAAAGTTAGAGAAAGATTGTTTAGTAGAACGGGATGTCACATTCCAGGGTCATGGGTAGCCAATATGTGGACTCAACTTCGAAGAGATAGAGAACGATGAGGCGAACACGTTTTTTGGGGTTGCTGGTAGAGAGCATGAACACTTTTGAAGACTGGCTCATCCTAATGCGTTTGTTAGTGTGGAAATGACGAGGTGTTTGAACATTTAAGTGTCACTGGCTTCGACTAAGTACGTGAGCTGCACGGACTATATTTGTATACTATTTACTCAACGAGATTTGTATATAACGTTTTTAGTTCCTGTATTTCTTATTTTGCTTTTGTATGATTTTATGCGCATTTGAGTTTAATTGCAAGATTCAATTGAACTAATGGACGAAACGTAATAGTACATTATTGCAGAGGCCGGGAAGTAAGGGATAGAAATCCCTTACTTCCCGGCCGTCCAGAAGGACTAGTATGCATGCCGAGGCTTATATAGTGCTTTTCTCAAACAATGTGAGAAATTAACAAAAGATAAAAAAATGGAACAAGTTAAAAAATATTAATTAATATCAAAAGTAATATTTGATGTTTTTACAGGCACATAATTAGTAGTCTGCTGATTCATGTGCTTCTCCAGTGCATGAAAATTTCATAAGTTTTCATGTATCTTACTCTATCTCATAGCTACCAAACAGTTTTTCATGGTTAATAATTATTGCTTCTTGCTAATTTAAGACAGAGTACTATACATTCTCGCTAGAACTTATTTTCACGACGAAAATACAAAAAAGACGAAAAAACATAAAATTATATCAAACCCCTTTATTTTACCGCCTTTTTCTCTTTTTTTAAATAGTAAACGGTACAGATAAGTATTTTTAATTTTGGCATTTACGAACATATTGTATGAGTTTTTCTTTTGCCTGTTTACATAGTTCATTGTTAGTAGATAGATCTAAAAGCTTAGAGAAGTAGACAATAATGGATTTTTATACTTACTTTGCAGGCCTTGGCCGGAAAGTAGTCGCACGGTCCATAAATGACAAACTTTCCGTGTTTGAGAAAAATACCTATTTTAGTTATAATTAGGTTAATGTACTGTTTCTGTATTCCGCGGATCTTTGTGAATGTGGTCTAATAGAAACGACTCTGTTACGATTCAATGTAATTTAGTATTAATGCATAGTACTTTTCCAGATGCTGATCTGGATATGTCTGGGTTTCCTCGTGGCAGTACTTCTGTACTTTCGACATGTTTATGGTTTCTTTAAAAGCCGAGGCATAAAGACACCTCGAATCGTCCCGCCGTTTGGCACTCTGACGAGTGTGTTTTTACAACAAGGTCATATTTTTGAAAACGTTACTAAGGCTTATAACCAATTTCCTGATCAAAGGTACGTACAATATTGTGTAAAAGACGGTACTTGTCTCTATTTTAAGTAAAGCGACATAAATAATGTGAATATTTGCTGATGCCTGTATCTTTTACATACTATCAAAATAAAGACCGTGTTTTCTCACTGGTGTAACAACAACTTACGACAATTACGGGTCTGGCACAAAGCTCTTCTCTCCAAGCTCCCGGCGTACGGTTTGCCAGCCCAGTTATGCAGCTGGATTGCCGATTTCCTTCGTGAGCGGAGAATTCGCGTCGTTTCTGACGGCAGCATTTCGAGGTTCGTGAATGTGAACGCCGGCGTACCGCAGGGATCCGTCCTATCTCCCACGCTTTTCCTTCTGCATATCAATGATATGCTTCCACTTGGGAATATTCATTGTTATGCAGATGATAGCACTGTTCATGGGGGATATCACGGATTCCCCGCAGCTGGCCGCGCCGATACTGATAGAGAGCGATCTGATCTTGTCGTTGAGCTCAATAGGATATTGGACCAAAAAAAAAAATTAATGTGTAAATATTCTTGTAATGTCGAAAGTTTTCAGTTGCTTATTATCTCGAGTCCCCGTTGGGCTAGAGTATGTGACCACTCTTGCCACCATATAGGTAGTTAAGTTAGTTTTTATTCTCGAAAAATAAACGCGCGGTGCGCGCTTCTTGTCCCAATGTTTTCACGCCCGTGCAGCCTCGAAATTCCTAAGAACAAGAAGAGACTTTCAACACTATTTCATAGTTTTCTTACTTATACAGGATGTAATCGTTAAGTGTGCCCAGGCGATTATTCCATAAATATAAGAGATATCAAAAAGTTTTCGACTGATATCGAAAGTACGTTACCTAATGAATAAATCAATATTAATAACTTTTTAGAAATAAAACTAGAATAATCCAAAATTTTAACATTAAACGCTCCCATACATTTAATATGACATTCGTAATGATGCTTTAGTTTTCCTGCTGTAAGAGGTAACAATAAGTAAAATTTTGTTTAACTTCGACGTTTGGTACCCGATTCACGAGAGTAATGCCCAGCATAGAGCACTCCATCGCTGTTTGTGCCACTTGAATTTTGTGCATAGGTCTGGGGCCTTAGGGACCTTGGTCTTTAGGCACAGTAATGTTTCTGGTAATTTATAGCAGAGAATACGAACCTTCACTTGCTACGAACCTAAAATCTTGTACCTCTTTTGCATGTTCGTCCACATAGTCACTTGTCTTGTTTAAATCTTGTTTAATGTTATAGGATGTACAATCAGTATGAACATGTAAAATGATTTTGACAATTATGGTAGGTACTTGGTACTTGGTGTAACGGGCTAGTGTCCGCAACTCGACGTCAAGGCGCCTATTTTGCGTGTGGTATAATTATGGTATTAGAGAGTCATAGGGGTAACCTATCACAAACTCGAATTTCTTTTTTTACGAATTCCATAACTCCGAAAATGGTTCGACTGTTTTCATTAGTGCGATGACAGTTTTGGTATAAATTTGCAACACAGAAATGTCTTACAGCAGAAGTAACGTTTGTCCGAAAATCTATTATTAGAATAATTATTACACATACGTATTCTTCGGGCAGAAGTCTGTTTGGTCTAATCGTGTTTGTTAGACTATCTGTTTCCATATAATTTAGATGACTGAAAATTCGTTTCGACAAAATAATTATTCTTAGATAAAATTATACCGCCATGCAATTTTACCGTAGAGCTCCAAAATTCTGGACTGTGTCTGCAAGTCCCACTTACGTAATTTTCGTTATACCATAGTGCTATGTTTTTGCTGTCATCTGAAGTGTAATTTAAAAATAATGGTCTAGAGTATTCAATAAATAACGTATAACAGAATCGAGGCGAGCGCCAGTGTCGAATTTGTTTGCATTTCCTAGCTGATTCGACCCCTCCTGTGGGTTTAGGTTAGGTTAGTATATGAAAAAGCGGCACGATCTGAACAAGCGAAGTAAGAGACTACAACTCGATCAAATTAACTTGCACCTCTCTAACCATATTTTCTAAAGACGTGAGGTGCTGTAATTTGACGAGTTGTATTGTGCGACACATTCTAATATATTTAATATATGTAATAAGATATGATATAACAAAAATGTATTATGAATATCGTATATTTACGAAATAAAAATTTTCAATTAGATACGTTGGTCAAACGGTTTGTTAGGGAAATAAAAATCTGAAAACGAATAACCTGTCTATATGTCAAAATAGTGAAACATAAACGGTGTAGTGAAAAAAACCGTAACGTGTTTTGGAACAAATGAAACAAAATCTATTCAATAAAAGTCTAAAGGTTTTCGGAGAACCAAAATTCTTTAAATCATATTTCTACCTTGTGATAGGTAATCGTTTTTAATCTCTTTGTTTTTATCTTAAGTAATATGACAGATAGATAGAACGTTTGTTAACTTGCATTATGCACAGGACAAAATAATACAGCAAATGGTTTAAAAGAGAAACCTATAGAAAATTAAAATTAAAAGAAATAAATACAAACAACAAGAAATTAAATTTAAAAAATACATTAAAACAAAATTCTTACCTAATAATCAACAGCACTTACCTAATATCGAAATAAATCATCACAGATCACGTGCAACCAAAAGGCCATGCGTTTTCTTTCTTTTATGTATAAACCGGCAAACAGACAGAATATCCCGTGGCTGCCAGCTATGAGAATTCTACCACAGTATCTTGTTGCCAAATACGTAAATGGCGAACGGGGTTGCGAGTTTTTAATAGCTGTGTAAGGTGTCGCACTCTTCTGCAAAATTCTCTCCTGTATCCTTCCATTCACCACATTCCATTCGTCACAGTTGTGACGATTATGTTTAGTGTCATAATCGTCACAACTCCTATTTCTGGTTATGCTTCGACATCTGTTCTGATATGAGTTCCTATTTTATTGTATTGCAAGACCACCAGAAGAGAAATTACTAGTTTAATATAGTATTCTCTCATTAGATGCTTTGTATAATTTAATAGTTCGTACAGTATTTCACACGTTGAAACCAATACCATTAGTAAATATTGTAAGTAGTAGCGTCATTGTTGCTTGAAAGTCCACCTTAAGCGTTCACTGCAGTAATTTACTATTGCAATATCTACTTATAACAAGTTACTATCAGGCTGTGTTATACATATAAATATTACACTTGACAACGATCATCTAGTCATTCAGGGCTAGGGGGTCATTATCCGGTATAGTCATAATTATCGTTCCGCGTTAACAACAATAACATATATATATTATATCCGTAATATAATATCGGTATAACCAGTAACTTCTGTCGTACCAATTGGCATTGAATTAGATACTGTCGATATGAACATAAGTCTACAATTTACTTTCACCATAATCTTTAATGATGTTTGAGATTCTCAATATTAGCACAGTCAACGTCATTTCAAATCATTATCAATTTGAATTTATTTACTCTTTTTTCGCTTGTGCATTTATATGTCAATTATTTACATAATATGAAGAGTAACTGCAACAATTTATTAACGATATTATTTGTGAGAAGAGCTACAATCATCATCTACATATGTTTCTGACGCTTGTACCGCGAGGTTAAATTTTCACTGACGAAAATTACGAAGCGTTTTTTAGATGTAATAAATGAAATAGTATATATAATTATTCTGTTAGGTTTTATGGCGTGTTCCAATGCCTGACGCCAATTGTATACGTAAGGGACATCGAGCTGCTCAAGAAGATTCTGATCAAGGACTTCGAACACTTCCTCGATCACAACAATGTCATCAAAGCCGAGCACGACCCGTTGTTTGCACGAAATCTTGTGACTTTAAGAGGTATGTAACATGTGCAATGATTTTGCTAAATAGAACACTATTAAATATCTTCTAAGTTAAAAGCTTCTCCTAAAACAGTGGCATAATATAAAATCTATAAATTTGGATACTAATTTGTCCATTGATTTTATATAGATATATTTATATCTCGCTTGATTTGGTTTGACGACTGACTATAAAAATGCACAGTTAGGTAATCAGAAATGCGGTTACAACAAAAAATAATGTATCCAAGTGTAATTCGGAGATAGCGCATAAACGGCTATTTGTTCAAATAACGTTTAATAATAGTCTTCAATTTTTTCGTGTCTTAGCCGCTCACGCGATGCGCTCCTGCTACCGCAAAATGGCGGCTATTTGGTTTCGCAAATTAGAAAAGCATTCAGTTTAAATGCAAGTTTTTATAAATAAAAATTATTATTCTGCATTGCTAAATAAATACCCTCCGTACTACCAGCAAAAACATCTCAAATGAAATGCAGTAATACACCGCAAATCCTACACTTAAAAAGCACTAATGAAATTTTTGGTGTACTTTTTGGGTAAATATGATAATATTCCGTTTGAGTGGTTCTAACGTTTACCATAAAATTACTCCTTAAAGTATAGTATATAAACATTTATATTCAGGGTAAACTTAAAAAACGCTACTTACGGTATGTTTTCAATAAATAAACACCGAAATTACCAGCCCAAACAATAACACACACGATTGTCGTGACGTATTTTTGAAGTTGTTTATTTTTTTTAAATGACAGACCCAGGCATTAAAAACTTTATGGTTTGCTAGAGTAGTTACCGAAATAGCAATTAATATTAGTTATTTTACCTGTTATAACTTCGATATCCGATAAATCGGTATAAAATCATCACCGGCACCTCTAGGTGTGGTATGCGTCTACGGCTGCATGTATCGCGTGAGCGGTTAGGTAAACTCTCTGAAATCGTCAATTTTAAAACTCTTGGTTATCAGGTAAGGAATGGAAGGACATGCGATCGACCCTCAGTCCTGTTTTTACTAGCTCCAAAATGAAGATGATGCTGCCAGAGATGGTGGAAGTTGGAGAGCAGATGATCCTTTCATTTAAGAAAAAAATCAAGGAAGCTGAACGTAAGGGGACTTTTAAGATTTATCGTTTATTAAAAAAAAAACTTTCTTTGACGTGCTGGTTTCTCTTTGTTTTTTCGCTATGCATACAAATCAGGAAAGGTAATCGATGCAAAAGTACTGACAGACAATCGTTGCAATTCAAAATTTATCGTATTTTGGTATTTCTGTTTAAGTTCCTTTTATTTACAGAGGGATATTTGGATGTCGATATGAGTGACTTAACGTCCAGGTACACGAATGATGTAATAGCATCTTGCGCCTTTGGCCTGAAAATAGATTCTTTTACGGACAAGGACAACCAGTTTTACGTGATGGGGAAGAACACTATAAACGTTAATATCCGTCAGATACTCATGGCTTTCGTATTTAATTTTTTTCCAAAGCTGGCTGAAGTGAGTATTTTTAATGTTCCCGTATGATAACATATCTAACGTTTGTGCCTTATTTATCTAATAACACTTAAATTAAAATGTGAAAGCCCCCTTATACTTGCACTAAAAGGTCAATAAAGTTACCATCTCGATACATCCTATGAACACCTCGCCAACTTTATTTTTTGGTCAGATTCTGTTTTGTTGTAAACAGCAATATTTATTTATTAATATTACGCTCCCCGAATTTTGTAAAAAAAAAGTAAAGACAAAAAACAAAATTCTCCTATCAAAATGTGCAATATATACGCGCGGCTATAGCGCGCCTGCGGCATATGCTGTAATATTTTATTACATTTTTAAAAATTTCTGCAAAAAAAACTTATTTCATTTCAAAGGCCATTTTGAAATGAAATAAGTTTTATTTAATGGTAATTCTCATACTTTAATCGTTGCTGCATGTATCTTAGTTTGATTTTGGGCCATTGATATTTACACTTTTTTGTATTGTGTGTATGAATAACTCTCAGTATTTATAGCTGATATATTTTTACAATTTGAGGGGGTACCCACAGTAATATTGTTAACTTTGTGCTGAAAAGTAGAATCACTAACTTTGCCGATTTTCTTTACACAGAAGATGTTAATTTAGGTGGACTCATCGTTATATAAATACCTATTTCTTTCAAGTGTTATATTTATTAATTAAATTTTCAGATATTTCATTTGACTATATTCCCGCCGGCGACAGAGATCTTTTTCAGGACTCTGGTGACGGAAACGATGCAAAACAGGGACCTCAAACAGATCGTTCGACCTGACATGATACATCTGCTAATGGAAGCTAAGAAAGGTATTATGAAAGGCTTATTTGTTGAATTTCTGGGTGTAGTATACAGGGTGTATATTTGAAAGTGAGACATACTTATAGAGTGCGTTATATTTCTGACTTTGAACCCAAAAAAAATAATAAACTAATGAAGTTAAAACTTTACAAATATTTATTTTTTATTTTTTTTTATCGACTACTACTTGTGAATAACATTACTTATCGAAACCTATGCACACCACTATTATTGCTCCGACCGACGCAACGGCGAGAGGCGCGGCGGCATGGTGGCGAAAAAACAAAGCACAGGTCGGCACTGTTTGCAGAGACAGCGCACGGGCGACCTGGGCCTAGCGAAGACATGTAAATTATTTGTACTTCCGCTCGCCCGAAGACTGCGCCGGTGGCGAATGCGCCCCTCGCTTGCAAAATGGATATTTATTCTAACGTCGAATTGACTGAGATGGTGCGACTTTACGCAGTAAGTGGTGACAGTGTGAGGCGAGCTATTGAAATGTTCCCAAATTGGAGTTTACGCGGAGGAGGTGAACAGTGTCGAAGTTGTTGCATGAGAGGATTATCTCAGCATTTATACTGTGAGATAAAATGTGTTTGTGTTGATCAATTTAAAACAAAATTTACTACGACGTGCTAGACTATGCATTGTGGAAAACGGGGGACTTTTTGAACACTTTCTCCGCACCACGTAAGTGTAAATAACTAAAACATCAATCATGGCAAATAATTTGATTTCACATTCTTAACTACGCCAAAAACCTCAATTCTTATTAAAAATAAGTTAATGATCTTTTTTAGTACGTAAATAATTTCAATGATAGTTCATAAGTAAAAAATAATTAACATAAGCTAAAACGTAATCATTTCGATAACAGCTTTTTCATCATAACATAAATGAGTAGGTGAGAGAGAGATGTGAAATCATTGTTACTGTTGCTGTCTCACTCGGCGCTCGCTTGGGAGTATTCCCAATGCACTCGAAATCAAGCGTAAAGGGAATCGGTTTATTCCCATGTACACTCCAAAACAAATTTGTGATTTATTTTTTGTTCTATCTCATATCCTAATTTTATTTTAGTCCATGTTAAGTTGCAACATGATTTACTATGACGTGCATGAATATGTCTCACTTTCAAATATACAGCCTATATAATTAATTTTGTTACATTTTCATAATATACCATGCATAACTTATTTTAAGAATGGAATTCATTGTGATAAAGTGAATGCAATATGTGATCATAATAATCAATCAATTTATAACACAACATAACAAGTCTGGTGTTCCACAGGGTAGTCTCTTGGACCCTTTATTATTTATTTTATACATTACTGACCTACCAGCTGCGACTGTAGGTTTTGTCCTCTAATCATTATTACAAGTGGCAAATATTCGTGATGAAATTATATTTTGGAAAAGGTAACAGTGCAAACATTGACAGTTTGTCTAGAGTAACAGAAATATATACGAGTTCTTCTCAAATCTGAGTAGATTGTGAGGAGCGCAATAGTAATTATTTATTCACATGTTATTTTAACTCCATAGGAAAATTAACTCATGACGAAAAATCAAGCCAGGACAAGGATACCGGTTTCGCGACAGTAGAGGAATCATCCATTGGCCAGAAGCGAATCAATAGGGGTTTGTCAAATAAAAATAAATACAATTTTAATCAAATAAATAAAATTTTAATGCAATCAACAGAAGGGACTTCTGTAACGGCATCAGAATACTATCTGGCGTTACAGCTCCTAATCACGGAATTTTATTTTTTAAGTTTCCGTGTATATTAAATAATATTTCATAGTACTACGCTAGAATATTAAATAATACTTCGCGATAATATTCTAGAATACTGAAATAACAAAAATGGTCACGGAAATTAGGTAGCGAAAATTAACCTGAAAATAACCCTAAACAGTTTCATGACACAGCTCTTTAAATTATACGTGTCCGAACTACGCGTAAACTGTTTCAGATGACACTCTGGTTTCGATTTTATAATTTTAAATCAATTTATTTTAGTAAATGATTTGAATGAATTACCTGTTTTACTAACTTACAAAAAATATTTTAATTTTCGAACACAATGTAGTATTTAAATCGTATTTGTCAGATGCAATAAATTGAACTCATTGGCTAGAGAACAAGTTCAGTCATGTGATGAAAATGAAGTAGATTTAAACTCGATTGTTATACTAATAATAGTAATAATTTTATTTCAGCGTGGTCTGACGATGACCTTTGTGCCCAAGCCATCTTATTCTTCATAGCCGGCTTCGAAACCGTATCCTCTACCTTGTCCATTATGCTGTATGAGCTGGCTATCAACCCTGACATACAAGAGAGATTGTACCAAGAAATCAAAGAAAACGAGGCCAAAAACAATGGAAAATTTGACTATAATTCTATTCAGAATATGGTTTATATGGACATGGTTGTTTCAGGTAAAGATAATAACATGAAGTTAAACTTTCTGTCATATTTTTTGCAAAAACGGCAATTTACCAAAAGTCAATCTTGGTGTGCGGCATTAGTTTTTCAATAAGGTATAGTTGGGTATTTTAATTTTTTTTTTGACACTGAATAGCTACTAAAACCCTAAGGTTATGTACGACATGAAGTTTGAAGGGCTATTTGTAACAAAACCCGAAATCTTTTAATATGGCAAACCTTATCGATAAATTAAAAATCAGTACGAAAATTCATTAATTGCTGTAAATATTTGCGTCAGCTATTTCATAACAATAGAGCTCCTTGTGAAAGAGTTCATCCAGGGAACTACTGCCACCTTACATATTTCTGCCGCCAACCGGTAATGTGAGCATTAGACACCGCGTTTTGGTTTTGAAGGGTAAGGTGGTGGTGAAATTACAGACACATGGAACGTGTCAATTTTGTCACAAGATGACAGCCGCAATGGCAGTCATCCTCAGATCTTTACGGTCTTTTTACCTGAGTGGCACTGTAACTGTTGTTATGGGTAGGTGTGTCGCTTACCAACCTCGTCGCTTGATGTCATAGAAAAAACTCACTGAGGGACAAAAACGCCGTGGTTTGACCTACCACTTCTCGAGCAGGGGCCGTGGGTTCGATTGCGGGTTCGCACCACTAAGTTTCTCTTTATCACTTAAATTTTTAATCTCATTAAAACAGATATCTCTGTGCGGAGTTTAATTTGAAATTTACCATGAGCTTTTCGGTGAACCAAAACATCGTAATGAAACCTGCATGTCGAGGAGGGTCGCACCTCTCGGAAAACATGTGACCAGTGCCCAGCAGTGGGACGTATGAATAGGTTGATGATGATGAAGAAGGGCAAAACAGTTGTTAGTTTTACGAAAGTTTTCGTGTTAATAAAAATTATCTGCAAAATATGGAACGTTTGATGTGCCATAAAAATTATATTTTCTACTTCAGAAACTTTGAGGTTATGGCCGCCTAGCGTTTTTCTGGACAGATACTGTAACAAAGACTACAACATAGGCAAACCTAATGAACAAGCCTCAGACGACTACGTTGTAAGTATTTTGTACACTTTGCTCATTTGCTAAGTTTCCTCAGTCAGTAGCTGCTGCACTATTGCCAAGTAAAACCTCTGATGTTCAAGGCAATAACTTTTTCCAGGCATCGTTGACCGTTGATTCAGGATGTTTTTGATAAAATTTCAGCTAGTGGTCGTACATCAGGTATCAAATAGCGATTTTTTTTCAAGTTGTCGTGCTAATGTTCCTGTAGACAAAGCAATTATGATTGAAATAATTTCTAAGTTTATGATCTGGCGCAGTGGTTGCATGAACAAATGTATGTACAGAATATCGAAATATCTCGTGCTTGTCTCTTCATCAATCATTACCGGAATCTATAATAAGATTCTGGTTGGTATGCAAAGTTGCAAAAGACGATTCGACCTATTTTTAACAGATTTCAAAAAAAGGGAGGAGGTGCTAAATTCGACAGTATGGTTTTTTTATGTATAAATTCAGTCAACTTTTTTATTGGAAATAGAGTATACCTCAGTAGTGGTCCTATTTAAATTTAAAAAAAATATTCCAACTCTAAGGGTGGCAAACTAGGGGATGAACCCGGTTTCGCACACTTTCCGGTAACCGATTTCAATAAAAGTTGGCAAATATAAAAATTACATAATTTTGAGTTCTCGGTACTCAGATTATTATTTAAATAATCCTACGACTAAGAAGTCGTTGAAAAACCAAATACAAAGACACGACGCAAGGATATAGAAAAATTCGTTGGGTCCATTGGTTTGTTCCGTGGCTTAGTTGGTATAGCATCTGGCACGGTATGCAAGAAGACGTCGGTTCGAATCCGACCGGATCGAAGGAATTTTCTGAGTGTTTGATTTTTGTATTAATGATTACAATAATCCTGATAGCTTGATACCTACCATTTGAAGCATAGAAATTGCCATATATATAATTGTTGTATTGCCAGCATTGAACTATTGCCAGTTATTTATAATGTTCGAACGATAATTTCTTTGGGTAGTACCAGTGATAAAAAAATTATATTTTATTTTCTTATGAATTTACCGTTCGACAAGTACGTGACAATGTTTGAGATATTTAGAGCCAAAGTTATATGAAACAATAAATGGATCCTATATTAACTGTCCCAGATAAGTTTGTTGGTAGGTCAATGTACATAGGCATAAAAAGGTATTGACAAATTTCGTTCGTACAGTCATTTAACCTCTTGAAAATGAATCGCTTTGCAGGTGTGGCTTTCTTACATAAAGTGCGTAATATAAACTTCCCTTGATATTTTCTTCCAAATATAAAATATACATTGCTATTGTATCCATCTAGATCCGAAAAGGCGAAGCTATTCAGATCCCCGTGGCCGGGTTCCACCGTGACCCTAAGTACTATCCGAACCCGAACAAGTTCGACCCTGAGAGGTTCTCTGAAGAGAACAAACACAAAATCCAGCCTTTCACCTATATGCCGTTTGGACTTGGACCTAGGAATTGTATCGGTAAGATGTCTCCTATCTCCGTGAAATGGTATATAGTGTGCTCAAATGACATTTTGAATTCGTGGTCTTATGATTTTGTCACGCCACGCCGCCGCCCGACGTAACGCACACCGTTCGGCATACTTACGGCGGTTTTGGACTTCATGTAGCGTGCCGATAGCACTGCGTACTGCAAGTGTGACGTAAATAGCCACTGTCACGCATATAATATACACACTGCCACACTTAGATGTACAAAAAAAGTCAGAATATTAAAAAAATTAGACAAAGCAGCAACTAAATTAATATATTTTAAAGTCGACTTAATGCAGAGTTATTGAACCTTTCTGGAAAAATTCAAATTTAAACAAAATATATTATTTTAGTTATTGCGACAAAGCAAAAATACTTGCAAGACTAATGCAGTTTAAACGTTGATTACAACAAAGTAATAAAAATAACATTTCCTGTAAGTTCGAAAATTTACAAGAACACAAAATCCAGCTTGAATCACTCGACAAACATGTGTTACTAGGAAATGAAAACAAATAAATGGAAAAAAAATTGAATCTTGGTAAAAAAGAATAAACTTTAGAAAAAACAAAAATCTTTATAACATAATACCATTGGCATATTGCAATGATTTTCCTTCCATTATTCATTACTATTTTAAACCCAACCAACACACTTCGAGTAAGGGTCTTTTGGGGTCTATGAAGGGGATCTTCACAAACTCTGCAAAGAATTCTATCTCTGACATACACTGTTTTTGCAATGCCAATGGTATTACGTCACGATTTGTAACGCACTATTTAAATCAGGGTTAGGAACACGCCTTTAAAAAGGTTGTATCGTAGTTTATTTTTTTCTAATCTATTAATAAAGTAACTGCACATAATTAGGAAAAAAAAAGTTGATTAAGATTGAGTTGATTAAACAGCCGCAACTAGATATGGATCACCTTTGAGAAAAAAATGTGAACCCGAGCCCAATACTTTTTTTCCTTGAGGAGATCTCATATCAGTATTTTAGACACAGCACAGAACAAGGATCTTGTGCTCAGGTTCAACCATGTCCGCGCACAAAGTATGCGTTCTTCCAGGTGGTCGTTTTCCCTGGATTTTTCCTTGCATGATTAATCGGATGAGGGGGTTGATTCAGAACCTTACGATAACTCAGTTGTCGACCGATTTCTTTTCATTTTTAACCGACTTCAAAAAAGGAGGAGGTTCGGAATTCGACTGTATGTTCTTTTTTTTCCTTTTTTTTTGTTACGCGATAACTCCGGTATTTGTGAACCGATTTTCATGATTCTTTTTTTGTTGGAAAGGAGTACCATAGTGGTCCCATTTCATTTTGAAGAAAATCATCCACCTCGAAGGGTGGCTGTTCACGCATCAAGATTCATTTTCATAAATAGCGCCTAACATTACTTTAGGAGCAATTACTTTAATGGTTGATTTTGCTATTTCTCCAATTGAAGGCGTTTTTCTCTCAATATACTTTGAGTAGTGAGAACCAATTATTATTATCCAGTGTCAAGTCCTGTATAGTGGCGAACTAGGAGATATTTCAATAAAACTTAGCAAATAGACGTAATTCCGCATACTTTTGAGGTCGGTTTTTTTAGTACTCTGTACTGAGATTATTATTCACAATACCCGAATCGAACGTCAAACTGACGTATTCGAGACTGAACCGAAGTGACGTCACACCCTAACGATTATTCGAACTTCTCAACCGGCAAAGGCTACAAACGTTATTCAGAACACAGTTTTGGAATGAAAGTTACAGATTGTCCTATTGTTTAAAAAGCAAGAATGTAATATGGAAATCTCTTATTATTGTAAATAAAGTTTGGGTTTTATTCAATTTTATTAATTTTTTTGGATGCAAGACTAATGCATTCCTTACGCCTTTAGAGTGTTAAAAATGTATATAAAAGGATTTTAATTTTTCTTATAACCTATTTCACCGCCTAACTCCGTAAAGCCTGTTGGATAACTCTATCGTATCCGAATCGAACCTTTAACTCGAATGTTCTGAATAGCTCGGAAAGCGCCCATCGATTCGAGAACGATGTCCAATCGAACGATTCGGTTAAAATATCGAAGAGTTCTGAATCGGGGTCCAGGTCACATTTATCATTGCGCGTTATATGACCAAAGTACTGTAGCTAGCGTTTTCTGACGGTATTCAAAACTTCTGTAAGGAGTCGGCCGCAATCGGGTGATAACTATCTTGAACTGGAGTAAAAGCACGAAAGAACGGAGTCCAAATATTATTAATTTAGTTTATTTTTTACACCACAAAGATAGGAAGTTCACACAGGTTTACAGCTAAGATACACAGAAAAGAAGGAGTACGGAAGAATGAGTAAACTACGACACAGAACTTATACGCGGTATACACACGATCACGAAACATATACGCGATGTACATGTACGCGGTGAACAGGCGATACGGGCGTCGCGAGAGTTGATTCAAAAGCGACTGGTTACGAATGCGCGTCGGAAGTGCACGCGCACACTGCGTGTTCTAAACAATAGAAACTGGTCCGGCTCGCTCATCGCGTTGCGCGTTTTCATTGTACGACACAAATTTATAGTTGTGTAGATATAAAGTGCACAGTTTACGTATGTTCAGTAAATATGTAGAAATGTAAATATGTATATATATATTTAAGTACTAAGTAGGCTACACTTCTAATTGGCTCTAATTAAAGCCTCTAATTATCCTTACACATCAGCGGAACAACAATATAATATCACTTTCAGTATACAATAACTATTGCTTAATTTACAGGATCAAGATTCGCCCTCTGCGAAGTGAAAGTAATGGTATATCAACTCTTAAACGCCATCGAAATTTCGCCATCGGACAAGACTATTATACCTCCAAAGCTGAATCCGTCCTCGATCAACATTCGTTTGAAGGGGGGTAATTGGCTCCGATTTAAAGCTAGGAATCAGGTGTAAATGAATGTATAGTCGATCCTTTTTGAAGACTGAAGATTATGACATTTGTAGGGTTGCCAGATTTCACAAAATTTTGTATAATTATGTACTTGTTGTCGATAATTTCATAAACAGATTGTGTAAGAAGAATTTTGCCAAACACGACTGAATTGTGAATGTTAAGACGTTCAAATAATTACTAATTGCGTTATTTTTTCCTTCTTGATTCTTATTTTGACAGTTGGCCTACTAATATCAAGTTCAATTTTTATTCATGTACATTTTAACAAAAATAGCCGGATTTGGTTATAAATATATTGAACTAAAATGAAAAACTTTCAAATATGTTTCCTCTTTGCATTTTTTATAAACATATTTCTAAATACAGTGTATGTATGTATGAACTTACAAAAATTTATTCAAATGAACTTGTGCTCGGTAATTGGATGAATAATGGGTCGAGGAAGATTCAAATTAAACAAGTTTGGCTGTTTATTCCAAAAGCGTGACCAATATTCAGTCGGTAGTCGATAGGATATTTATCGACTGCAATCACTAGCTGCTCGCAACTGGCAACATTTTTACGCAATGAACTGTCATTTTAACCCATCTTCAAAAAGGACAGACTATAAAATCTTAATTCATCAATTATTGTTTTTTTTTTGTTTAAGTTCGTAATTAAAATCTATGGTTATGTATGCATTTGTCGTAAACTCTTCGTGAAAATCGAAGAATTATGGTAAAGAGTTATTGCACGTAATAGTATTTATGTTGGCTTTGCATACAATTACTCGTATACATTCATGACAACGCAATTAATACATGTCCATTTATTTTAAAAAAATGCTAAATAAAGATTTGAAATAGTGATTAACATGAATATTATTTATCCTTGATACATATAGTCCATTATTTATGGCATCATAAATGATGATATAGTCAAGAGCATGCCAAGCTTTCATCCTATTTTTCCAAACTTACGAACTTACGTGGTGTCTGGACACCATTACTTGCAATTATAAAAAAGTGCATTGGAGGCATTATGGTCAGATTTTAATTCGAAACGATAGGATATTTGCATTGGTTCGTTTAGCAGACCAAATTCTCAGCATCTCAGCAATCCTTTCGTCTTTCTCGAAGACGCCAAAATTGTTCAAGCTTCCACTCCATGCAGACAGTAGAGAATATCAAAGCTCGTATCAATAACGTTTTGACAAAGCGCGCTTTACTACAAATTTGAGAACCTAAGCAGAAGCAAGAGCAAGTGCCTTCTATTATAAAGATTTGTTACTATCCACTTTCCAACTCAAGATATATTAGTTATGTGAAAACCACAAAAAAATAAGTACAGTAGACGTGCTTAGTTTGTGTAACACGTGTGCCAACAGTACGCAAAGTTAAACATACTTAAGCTCAGACCTATTTTCGCTTTGTACGTTATGGGTATTAATTACCTCGCTTAAAACCTCGAAAATCTATGTCGAAATGTGTGCGAGGTAAGCGAGCAAGCTCGCCGTTGCCTCCGCTCACCCCAATACACCACACTTTTCCTCCAAAAGACTCCGCTAATCATTCTCGCACCGTTCAGCTACACACCCCTTTACAGCTTCACTACGCATGCTCGTACCGCCTAGCTACCTCGCACAGCTTTAGTGGAAACCGTCACATCGTTTCACAGCGTTGCTACACAACCTCGCACCGCGTAACTAACTCGCACATCTCTGGTGGAACCGCAGCCTAAAGCTGACCGATAAAGCTCTGTCATCGGAGCATATTGCCTCCTTGAGAGCGTCAAGACAAGTATTATCCCCTGGCTAAACTGTCTTTAGCAGTTATCTACATGTTTCTTGTTATTTTTAACTCATCACTACCTAATATTGTTAAAATGATGACAACTTTAAAAATCTTGACAATGAAATTAACGAAAACACTGTCACCGAAACAAGATAGGAATAATGCAAGATATATTGCAGCTGATATTTTAACATTAACGACTACCCTTAGTCACACAGGCATACTCAAATAAAAGACACTTAACATCTTTTCTTTCATTCATTCGATCATATGATTCATTCAATGATGACAATATTAAAAATATCCACGCGATCAAGATTATGAACACCGTCATGTATAATGTATTACAAAGACTGTAAATACACCGATTCAACAATATCAATTACATCTAGTGGCATTATCGGAGATGAAGAATCAACAGAAGAAGCCACTCAATATTCACAGGGCATTAAAGTGACTTACGCAGAGTCAACTTCCCCAGGAGATCAAGTTGCATTAGAAATGCTGATAGATGTACAAGAAAATATATTCAGTGTTATAATAATAGAGGTTGCAGATAATAATCTATCGTAATAAGTAAGAAAGTAATTTAATCGTAGAAACAAACATCTCAAAATGTTTATACTTTTTTCTACTCCACCTGTCAATTCTAATTTCATAAACCATAATATCAAAAAGGTGCTCTTTTTAGTTCTGAACCAAAATTTGTGTTGTCCAACACTGAACTGAAATAAAAAAAAGAACGTCGTATATTTACAAATTAAAACATCGAAATTAAAACCAGAGATGGGCAAGTGCCCTTTAAATGGGTTAAAACCCATTATTACTCGAAAACGTAGGCAAAAACTGACCTAGAAACTGTTACACGGTGAGCCCAAATTGAGAATTCGAGGGCGGTGGAATAATTTCGGGATGGGGAGAAATTTCTATTTTCAGTTTTCTTTTATGAAATTGTATCTAAATTGTCATCCTTGCAAAAAATTGTAGTAATTTAATTAAATTTTTATTGAATTAATATTCAATTATTTTTGTGAAATTACTCCACTAGTTTGTTATAATTATTAATACAAAGATCGAACACTCAGAAAAAATTCCTTCGATCCGGCCTTCGAACCGACGTCTTCTAGCATACCGTGGCAGACTCTATGCCACAGAACGAACCAGCGGACCTAATAAATTTTTCTATGTGCTTGTTGTCGTGTCTTTATCTTTTTACACTTCGCGGACTGGGGACCTGATGACCTGTAATACAGGCATTTTTATGCCTGTGCAAACAAGGTTTTATGTTAAAAACTAACTAGCCAGTAATATTTATATAATTCGCCTTGCATGTTGAGAGAAAATAAATAAATTATTATACTATTATTTTCGTAAAAGTATCTTAAAATTTCTTAAATTTCCACAAATATTATGGAAACTTTCCAGAATAGTAAAAATTTATTGTGATTATTATTTTAACTTGATCAATTTTAATTGATGATTAGTAGGAGTGGGTCGAACGTTCGTTTCATGTGCGGTATTTGTCACACTGGGCATGCTTTCCGAATATTCGCTAAAAATGAACTATTTGCTGTTACTAAAAATGAATTTATTTAGATACGTACCTATCTTACTTATTAGTCAACGAAATATTATTATAAGATGTCTTTTGATGGATGCTTCTGCACGTCTATTAAGTTCAAGTGAGTCTTCGAAATAATAGTGCATATCGTGACGAATATGATCTTAAAACTATTATTTATTGTAATGAGTTTCAATATCGCACTCAATATGCACAAACTTGTTATTTTAAAATTCAGGACATCGTCATCGTTGGTCCATTCCAATGCTGAACATATACCTCCTTTAATATGTGTCACTGTGCCGGGTCTTCCGCTTGTCACAACCATTGTTTGCCAGCAACCTTTCGCAGATCGTCATTCCATGTAGCCGGAGCGCATTCTACTCTTAAAGATGAACAATTTCCGATAATGTTTCCGGACGCGGAAATATTGTAGAAAACATTGCAGAAATGTTTCCTAAACGCGATATTTACTTAAAAAGTTGATTTTTTTGTTAAAACTCATTTTTATTGTCATTGTTAACATTAAAAAAGAATTACGTTATAGGTAATGACAACCATATTTTTTTTACATAACCGATATATTCTGGAAAGTTTTTGAAGAAATTTCTGGAAACTTTCCATAATATTTAAGGAAATTAAGACATTTTCACGAAACTGGTTTTCTCTGGTATTGATTACCAATAAAATGTGTCAGTCAACCTAAGTACCTACAGATTATTTTCGTCATATGAAAAAGAAACGACAAGGTACCAAAAACATCAACTTTTTGTGTAAATTTCGCATTTAGGAGTCATTCCCGCTACGTTTCCGAGAACATTTCCGCATTCGGAAACAACCCATCTTTAGCGTTTCTACGAGCGTTCTATAAGCGTTTTAGTAGAAGTAGAGTGAACTTGTGAAAGAGTTCGTCCAGGGAAGTCAGTACTTCCCTTCTTCTTCTTTTTTAATGGGTACCTTACCCATTTCTGCCACCAAGCAGGACTATGAGCATTAATGCGTGCTGGTTTTGAAGTGTAAGAGGATGCTGGTGAAATTATAGGCACTTGGGACTGGTCAAGTTATGTCTCAGGATGACGGGCGCAGTGGCAATGCCCCTAAGATCTCTGCTGATTTAAAGCTGTAAGTGGTACTGCATGGTGTGTCGCTTACCACCAGGCGCATGACTTGTTCGTGCCGTCACATAGCGTCATAGAGAAAATACATTTATTATAAATATAATATGGAGAGACGAGCTAGACGCGCACCTACAAACTGGACCTTGGTGGCGCAAAACAGAGAGTTGTGGAGAGGGGGGACGGAGACCTTTGCCCAGCAGTGGGACAGTATAGGCGTTAAAAAAATTATATAATTTAAGATGTGAATCAATAAAAAAAATATTTTATTTCATAATATCTATTAATATTACAATTTTCCGACCTAAAATATAATGTCAGTAAATAACATGATCGTCACTACACAGTAATAAGTAGTAAACAAAACATACAAGTAAAAGAATAATTAAACACAAAATATTTACAAAATTCAACGAATTTCAATTATAATACAAATTTTGGAATTACAGGAATTTCTTCAAATAAATTTTAAAGCGAAGAGACGCAGTGAAATTTATTATCTAATAAAAATAATTTCAGTCAAGTATAACCTTTTCACATTTCAGTTTTGCGGATAGGTGTAAATAACATGAAATGATTGCAAGGAGAGTTCAGCTACAAAGTACGCTGTCAACTTTTTCTTGAACGAAGCGATCCATAGGCAAGACTGGATGTGGGAAGGGAATCTGTTCCACAGTGTATTTATTTAATACCCCTTGAATCACAAGACACAATCAATTAATCTCTGAAGGACTCTTAGTACCGGTGTTACTAGGCTCTTTAATTCAGTCTTGCTCGATGGTTCTACGCCAGAAGCGTGGAATAGAGGCGTGGTGATACTCTTCTTCAAAAGGGCAGATAACCCTCTATTGAAGAATTACAGGCCCACCTCGCTTTTAAAGCCACGTTTATATGTTGTTTTCACGAGTCATCACGAACCGTCTCGCGTGCAGATTCGGTGACTTCCAGCCCCCTGAACAAACCGGTTTCCGAAAGGGCTTCAGTACCATAGACCACATCCACACGCTGCGGCAGGTTATACAGAAGATCGAGGAGTGTAACCTGACATTATGCTTAGCGTTTGTGGACTATGAGAAAGCCTTTGATTCGATCGAGATTTGGGCGGTGCTACAGTCTCTACAACGGTGCCATATTGGCTATCGATATATCGAAGTGTTGAAGTGTTTGTACAGAAACGCCACTATGTCAGTTCGACTCCAGGACCAGTGCACAAGGCCTATCCAATTGCAAAGAGGAGTGCCACAGGGAGACGTCATTTCTCCGAAACTGTTCACCACTGCATTGGAAGATGCCTACAAGTTACAGAACTGGAAAGGACTCGGCATCAACATCGATTTGCTGACGATATCGTGGTTATGACAGAAAGGTTGGAAGAGATTAGCACCATGCTCGGTGACCTCAATAGAGTTTCCCGGCAGGTGGGTCTAAAAATGAACATGGACAAGACGAAACTTATGTCGAATGTCCATGTCGTACCCACCCCTATAACAGTGGGAACTGCTGCTCTCGAAGTTGTTGACGAGTATGTCTACCTCGGACATACCGTCCAATTAGGCAAGGCCAACTACGAGAAAGAGGTCAATTGTCGAATCTGACTCGGTTGGGCAGCTTTTGGGAAGCTCCGGGACGTTTTCTCGTCCGCAATACCGCAGTCTTTGAAGACAAAAGTCTTTCAGCAGTGCGTGTTGCCAGCGATGACCTACGGCTCTGAAACGTGGTCACTTACAATGGGCCTTATAAAAAAGCTCAAAGTCACGCAATGAGCAATGGAGCGAGCAATGCTCGGCATTTCTCTACGTGATCGATTCAGAAATGAGGAGATCCGTAGAAGAACGAAAGTCACCGACATAGCTGGCAGGATTAGCAAGTTGAAATGGCAGTGGGCAGGGCACAAAGCTCGTAGAACTGACGGCCGTTGGGGCAGAGAGGGGCTTGAATGGAGACCACGAACCGGACGGCGTTCAGTGGACGGCCCCTACTAGATGAACGGATGACCTGGTAAGGGCGGTGGGTAACCGATGGGTGCACGTCGCGTCCGATCGGCTGGTCTGGAAATCTTTGGGGGAGGCCTATATTCAGCACTGGACGTCTTCCAGCTGACATTATGATGATGATGATGAATAAACTAATGTCATAATATTTTGTGCATTTGTGGCTCTTTAAAATCTTTATTAAATAATAAAATAAAATAATGAATGTAATGTGAACGTATATGTGTAAGTAAGTATGTGCATTGCATAAACCAAGAAAGAATAACTACATGTACACTTTACCATAATCCACAGAATTTTAGCGTCCAGTTTATATCAAATGCACACACTATTACAGCTTCTAAATACGAAATAAAATTTAAAAAAACAGAATCTCTGTAACTACATGAATATTATAATATATTGCGTGGAGTTCACATTTTTGTCACCTCTTTCCTAGCCTTAAATCGGATCCAATGACCCCCCTTTATGCGAATGTTGAACGAGGAGGGGTCCATCTTGAGAGGTATAACCGTTTTGTCCGATGGCGACATTTCGACGGCTTTTAAGAGTTGATATGCCATTACTTTCACTTCGCAGAGGGCGAATCTAGAACCTGCAAATTAAGCAAGATTAGTAACTGGAGGTATGAGTAGTTAACGATAGCTTATTAATAGCAGTAGAGCTCCTGTGAAAGATTTCGTCCAAGAAAGTACTGCCACTTTACCTATTTCTGAGCATTACTGATGTAAGCATTACTGCGTTCCGGTTTGGAAGGGTAAGGGTGCTGGTGAAATTATAGGCACATGGGACTTGTCAACTCATGTCTCAGGGTGACGGGTGCTGTGGTAAGTGTTCATCAAATCTTTAAATTAGTCGCTTATAGCGTTGCCGTGGCGAGACACTCGCGTCACTACTAATTTTCATACAATATCTGGATGCGCAGTCACGCAGTCAAGTCAGTTGCGCTTCTATAAGCCTCTAATTTGAAGATGCCCTTTGTAGGTGTATTTGAGGATGTACATTTCAAAACTGAAACGCATTAGTTCACATTACTGCTTGGCGGCAGAAATAATACAGAGGCAGTTTTTAAGATAGGATAGGTACAGGCCTACTGCTCAACTGAGTCGATTGCTGGGGTAGCTGTGACAATTCACGTGACAGTTATGTCGCGCTGCACACGGGATTATTTCAGCAAGATTTTTCTGATAATATTCAATAAGAAGTTGATTGAAAAAACTGTATACATATACTATTACGTTAAAGATCAAATTGACGTAAAAATTTGCTTACCAATTTATTCACTAATGACGCGATCAGGAAGGCAAAATGAATTTTACGGCTTACAGGGTAGAGATTAGGTTTGTTTAACACATTTCTCCACATTTGTGTACTCAGAGCCAAAAGATCAACAAAGTCCACGGGGGGTCACATATCAACATATGAGTCTGACACAACTGTCTTGTCATGGTGAATGTTCACTGATCCCACGGTGCCGATTCAACCGGCGAGAGGTAAACCCGGGAGGGTTTTAGTGGGGTAGGCCCCCAGTATGGGGGGTGAGTCCCCACATAACTTGAACTCGGGGGTATCTACAAAGGTTTTGTCCCGCAAAAAAAAGCTATGTTGTGTCTATGCGTGAACCTGACTGAGAAATTAAAATCGTGGGTGCAAAGCGCCATACAGGAACACACGGTTCAAAATGTCGATCTTTTCAATGTGAAGCAATCGTTGGTTTTTGGAGTCAGATATAAAAAAAATACGACATATTCTCACCAATACAATTTCTAGGTCCAAGTCCAAATGGAATATACGTGAAAGGCTGGATCTTGTGCTTGTTTTCTTCAGAGAACCGCTCAGGATCGAACTTGTTGGGTCTCGGGAAGTATTGAGGGTCGCGGTGTATCGCCCACAAGGGTATATGGATGCCGTCGCCTTTGCGCACCTTAGAAAAAGAAAAATTAAATAACACTCAAAAGGTCAATCTAGTACGCAAGCACTAAGTACATCTCATTCCGTATATTCCAACGTTATAAGCGAAGATCGGATTAAGCAAATTATATTTATCTGAATTTGGAGTAATATACGTAAAGAAATCAAATAAAAATAGAAAATCAAAACTAAATCTCTCTGAGTAAAGTTTAATTTTAGTCTGCCATTACATTCGTATAAGACGTTTACAATACATCATATAAAGATGCCTGGAATAATATTATTGATACAAATAAGTGTTGAAGAAAACTTGAGTCCGGGAGTCTACGTTTTAGGACTAGACACCAATTCACAAGACTCGACTCATAAAGACAGAGACTCCACTGTTCGATGTATTATGAGTCTATCGAGTTTCCGAATAGACTCGAGTTCAACATTAGTGCTTGGGCCCGAGTTCGACTTTGTTTATGCAACGAGTTGAGCTTGAGTCTGGTAAGCATCTACTGAGCGGTATTGTGGTGTGGTGTGTTAAACTGTAGTATAGGAGTCTACGTTTTGGAACTAGACTCCAATTCACAAAACTTGACCCATAAAGACCGAGACTCCGCTGTTCGGTGCTGTATTTAGGAGCCTATCGAGTTTCCGAACAGACTCGAGTTCGACATTAGTGCTCGAGTGTGTGTAAGCTGTTTATAATAATAATTGTTTATTTCGGACTATTAAAAATATCCATAGTATGTTAGTACGAGAAATTAAAAAGCAATGTTAGTATAATACAGTGCAGACTTAATTTATAACTACACTATAAATTGGGCTACACCCTTAGTTTCCTCTATCCAGAATTTTACTATTAGACAGTAAAAACTTCCCGATATTGCACTTAGAATGCTGTTGGGACTTTGCCTCACGCGACTCAACAGCGAAGCAATCTTTTTCCGTATTACGGCCTGGAAGCTGTCCGTGTGAGCTTCCGCAAATATGGCCGAGGCACTGCACCTTTTTGGCAATCCTATCAACCTCTAAACGAGTTGTTATATTGAACGCGCACTTTCGTATACCTCACCCACAGGCTACTCGAGTAGAAAGATTGGCTGTAGGCTTTAAATATCGTTATTTTAACTTCATATGAGAATCGAGCAAACCTGCGGGCAAGCATATTACTCCGAACCGCTAACGCCCTACGTTCCCTTTCGATATCCTGATCATCGTTCAGATCATTCGTGAGAATATGACCAAGATATTTGACCCTGTCTACGTCCTTCAACGGAGTATTATTCAACACAATAGGAGGAATATACTTAGTATGGTTTATTTTACCCGCCTTAAATACCATAGCCTCGCTTTTCTTCGGATTATACTCTAGGTCATGGGTGACAGCATACGCCTCACAAGTCGCAAACAACTGTGCCAACGCGCTGACCGACGGGCTAATAAATCAATTTATAAATGTATAAATGTAATAAATTTAATGCATAATAAATTTATTCAACGAGTCGAACTCGAGTATGATAAAGATCTACTGAGCGGTGTTGTGATGTGGTGTGTTAAACTGTAGTATAATGATTGTGTTACAATTAGGTATTAATAGTAATAGTTGTTCAGTAAAATTGAATTTTGATTGTCGTACTCGAGACTTTGTAGAGTAGAAGTCTTTGAAGAGTTCGAACTCCAGCCAGTTTACAAAGAACGCGAGTCGTAAACCTAAGTTTACGATTGGAGTCCGTACTACGATGACTCGACTGGACTCAAATTTGTAAGTCTTTTAGGCCACTGATCCGTGCAAAATTGAGTCCAGTTTATAAGTGTGGACTCCCGAACTCGACTTTTTTACGACACTACAAAAATTGTATAAAAAATATTTTATGTGGGAAAAAATGCAGCGGTCCTTCCCTGGTAGTCAGTTTTTCGATTAGTAAAGAATTCAAAATGCATTGACAATTTGAATATGTGTATATTAAATAAGGTTTATATTTTAATACTTACAATGTAGTCCTCGGTAGCTTTGTCATTAGGTTTGCCCAAATTGTAATCCTTGTTACAGTACCTATCTATAAAAGTGCCGGGCGGATATAACCTTAAGGTTTCTGAAAAACAAAACATTTGGTTAGAAGTAGTTCAAACATTAGATTCTTTTCCGTTTCCTGTGTTTGATGAAATGTCGTTTGATCTTTTGAAGTTGTCGAGAATAGTATTTTATTTTAAAAACAAAAATGCCACATTCAGTGGCGACTGTTTCATTAAAAATAGGCTAGTCCAACATTTTCAGGAAAGTAGGTTCAGTTTTTCTACAAATTGTGTACCAAAGTACAACTTATGTCACAAAATTATCTAATATTGTATAGGAAAGAATCCTTAATTGAAATCTTATTTCAATAGAAATTGCAGAAAAATATAATTCTACAATTATGAGAGTAATCGGATAGTGCGTTCGACGAAACGTGCATTGTCCTGAGTTGTTACTGCAGCTAATAATCAGGTTTAATCAACTAGGTATCCACCATTTATCTAGACTAAGGCTCGACCACTCGAGTACCCCAGTTCACTTAGCTAAAATTAGGGTACGATACAGCTCGCTCTGCGAATGAGGGCTGGACGAAGAAACTCCGGATCATATTTTTTTCGACTTTAGCAAGTACCTCGTCTCTTTGTACGATACCTTCCCCTCATTCATTCCCAAAAACACAAATTTTAATACGATTTTAAGTCATGTTGACACGACTCCCTTCAATATCCTTTGTGATTATATAACCAGCAATAATATAAGATTATAATTTGTTTGTCCTGCCTAAAATACGTGCTAACATTTGTCTATATATATTGTTTTCTGTCCCTTTCAGGTAATTCAACAGCTCTGCAGCATCAAAATTTATTAAGAAAGTATTTTTATATCACATTGTGTCACACTAAATAGCAGAGTCCACAGAAGCTCTTAAAGTTACGTTAAGTTAGTTTTCGAAATCTAAAGGGTAGCGCCATTAAGCAAAAAGAAGAAGAAGAGTCAAGAGTTTTCGTTATACTTGCATAAAAAGAACAAAAACAAAGTTCATCTTCGTGCACTTACCTGATACAACCATGTCCATATAAGCCATATTCTGTATAGAATTGTAGTCAAATTTCCCATTATTTTTTATCTCGTTCTCTCTTATTTCTTGGTACAGTTTCTCTTGCACGTCAGGGTTGATAGCCAGCTCGTACAGCAAAAACGACATTGTAGAAGATACAGTCTCGAAACCAGCTATGAAGAACAGGATGGCTTGAGCACACAAATCGTCGTCGGACCATACTGGAGAAAAAAGTATTCAGTATACAAGTTTTTATTTATTAGCGAACATGATAATAAAATTAATTAACAGTGTCCATAAGGGCGTAGCTACGTCTTAAAAATATACTTAGACCAACAAGTTATGAAACTTAAAAATTAATAAAGAAAAATTAAGTAACAAAAGTATTATTATATTTAACTGCCTCCGTGGCCAAACGGTTACCATGCCGGACTGCCACGCAGAGGTCCCAGGTTCGATTCCCGGGCCGGGAGAAATAGTAGTATGGCCTACAATTGTTTCTCTCGTGAGTTTGAGTGTAATTTGTGGTTGTCTATGTGTGTGTCCATGGCACCCGCGACACAGGGTTTCCCTAGTGCGGGGCTATGTTGAGTGTGTGCGTTATTTATTTATATTTATTTATTTATTAAATTGCTTTAAATTATAAAATATGTTAATAAAGAAAAGCAGTATCAACAAAATAATGAATCCATATAATAATTATTATAATTGTAGAGTTTAATATAGAGAGATCAGAGTTATTTGTATTTCATAAAATCTTGTGTTACGTAGTAACACTTTTGTATGAGGAGGTTCTTTCATTTGTAAAACCTTTGTCGTCTTTCTAAAGTAATATATTACTTGGTAACACGTTATATATTGCTAATGTTCCTCAATAAGGTACCAGCTTATGCTGTCTACGTTCACTTTTGACATGTATTAAGAGGTTTATACTTTTACTAACTGGAAGTATCTGTTGCTATAGGAAAAAAAAAATCTACAGCTATCGCCAGGGCGTAGGTTTAGGATTGTACTGAGGCTATAACAATTATTTTAAAAAAACAAACGATTAAAATTCCATGCGAGTTGCAATGATGATATATCTATCTATCTATCGACTAAAGTTAAAACTGAATGACAAATAAGGAGGGATAATGAAGCGTTGTGACGCTCTCCGACCCAGGCGTAAGCCACACGCGCAAGATCGTGAGAGACACAAACTATGGGAGGCCTTACGAAGATTGGATGAAAGTATTTTCATATTGTAATACTTGTTAACTTTTACAAGTTCTCTCGCTACAGAATATTAGGTTAATTGTGCCCTTGTAATACAAAATTTGGACATCACGTTGTAGCTTCTGAATAAATGCGTTAAACATTCGAGAAGCCTTTATAATGATGAAAATACCTATATATTGGAGACTTAACTATTTTATCGAATATAAAATCGCTTATATTTCTATACTTCGGGGAAGACAAGGCGTAAAAGCAAATTTTGTCAAAAAAGAGCTATCGATTTAGTCGAAGAAATTAATTAATTATTATTAGCAGTACAGCACCTTGTGAAAGAGTTCGTCCATGGAAGTACTAACACCTTACCTATCTCTGCTGCCAAGCAGTAATGTGAGCATTACTGCGTTCCGGTTTTGATGGATAAGGGTGCTGGTGAAATTGCAGGCACATGACTTGTCAACTTATGTATCAGGGTCCTCGTTGTAACAGGTAACTGTATTTATTGTAATAAAAACTAAAAAGGAGTCAAAACGTTAATAAAAAATATTTTACTCTCGCCTTTCTAGTTTGGCTTTTACGCCTTGTTTGCTCTGAAGTATCAATTTAATTTAAAAAAATCCAACTTTTGAACTTTTTAAAGTGCGAACTTTAGTCACAACCGAAATAATATTTTTGTTTCCAATGTGCATCAGTCGCGAAAACCTAAGAACTCTACATTACCTATAAGTGTACATAACCAAAAATAGAGAAAAAATAAGGGCCATCCATTACTGGCAACTTATCAGGCAAATAGGCCTTACATCACTTTTAAATAACAATTCTCGTTTGCGCTGAAATCACAAATTAGAAGACTGAAATAGTGCAGCGCCAACAACTGACCTATGTGTACGTCTCCGTATATTCCAAAAATATTCTGTATTTATTGGAATAAAGATAATAACTCTAACAAAGGGCTATTCCATTCGGTGGTGAGGGGAAAACAGCAAAACCTCTAATTATAAAATAAACGGAATCACATTTCATCGGTAATTAAATATTAAATGTGTAATTTTTCAATTTTCGTCCATTATAGCAATACTCAACTTAAACCATTGACTTACAAATAAATGGACGACGGGTCTAATACAAAAACCACAAAAAAAATGTCCCAAGTCAACCTATTTAAATGTCGTGACATGTAAAGAAATATGAAAAAGCTAAAACGTTGAATTTAAATTGTAATGTCATCGCAGTACTGTCTAATTTTGCTTGCATCGCTGTCAGTCGAACAAACGAAGACTAAAGCGTGAATGATGCTCTGTATACGATTTTAACGCCCTCTAAGTTCGGACACTTTTTAGCGCGGACCTGACGTCCACATAATTGTAAGTCAATGACTTAAACGGACGATTTGAAATGAAATAATTGACGATACCCGGCAATTGTTTCCGATTCGAGCTGGCCAATCGGAGCGCAGTTGTCACCGTAATGATGTGGCAGAACAGTTTTCTCTATTAGGTCTCTATTTCTGTTATATACTCGGCGATGTGTACATTTGTAAGTTTGTAAGGAACACCATCAGTGTATTAGTTTCTTTTGATGATTTTTATGTTACTGATTTGCAACATTGTCTAAGTTAACTAATATAAATTATTAAATTTCAGAGCTGTGAATTGTCCCTGTTTTAACGTGACGTACCTCTGTTGATTTGTTTCATGCCAACGGATGATTCTTCGACAGTAGCAAAGCCGGCATCATTGTCTTGGCTTGATTTCTCATCATAGGTCAATTTTCCTGAAATAGTAAAAAAATATGTTAAAGCAGTCTAAGTTTTTAAGAGTAATTTACACTATTGACATAGTGATTCAATTTGCAGTTTAATATATGTACCGGATGTGCGATATTGGTTTCCACTTTTAAACTACTTTTAATCTAGTGCCAAAACTGACATACATTCACTGATACGTATTTTCGATATTGTCAATTTCTTTTAACCTTAGATATCTATTACTTTATATCATGTGCGTGTCTGACTACTTTGGAGTAAATTGGAGGAGACCTCTCTTTCACAAATGGACTTCTCGAAAACGCAAACCCGGAACAACAAACACACAAGTCCATTTTGCATGGTATGTGTAATTGGAAATCTTTTAAATTAAGTAGGTTCGGATAGGTTAATATTATAATAAATAAAAACATTATAACATTATTATTAATAATATTTAATTAAATTTCATTCTCTGCTAGTTCTATTCTATATATATATGTAGTGAAATGTTTTTTACACTTTTTGCTGCATGGTCGTGCGTGTATCATTTGTAGTTTGGTATAAAAAAAACTGGAATTTCTATATATAATAATAATAATAGCAACGCACACACTCAACATAGCCCCGCACTAGGTAATCCTGTGTCCCGGGTGCTATGGACACACACATAGACAACCACAAATTACACCCAAACTGACGAGAGAAATATTTCTCCCGGCCCGGGAATCGAACCTGGGACCTCCGCGTGGCAGTCCGGCATGGTAACCGTTCGGCCACGGAGACAGTCAATAAAATAATAGTGTATAATTGCTGTGAGTGAGGTGCTTTTTTAATCATATATTTAATTAGAAACTGCATACTACGGTGTCTACAGCAACAAATATACGTCACTCGTAGTTCTAAATTATATACTAGGTGAAACCTGAAAACCAGCAATTTGCTGAGGCTGTTATCTTTTCTGCAACACACCCATTTATTTTAAGCCACTTTTTTAACTTTTTTATGTATCATTGTAGTAGTATTAATAGTAATAAAGTTAAATTTTGCTCTAGAGTATAACTAATTTATCAGCTTCTAGTATTGCTTTTAAAACGTTTTAAAACGTCCTCTTCAAGTGACAAAAAGTTTATTACGAAATTGACTTCTGGATTTATTAGATTTGACTCAAAAACAAACAATTGTTGATAAAGTATTAATAGTAATAATAACATATTTTACTGTCTTCCATTTTAAAACGTGGGAAGTGGATCTACCTTATAATTATATCAGTTATAAAGGAGGTTTGAAGGTTTTATTAAAGAGCCTAGCTAATCAAAAGATCCCTCTTTTGAAAAAAAAAACAAAACAGCACGTACAATTACTGCTTTTTGTTGCAACCCAATTTACAAACCACCTTGTAAATGTATATCACAAAATATAAAGGTAAGAGTTAAGCACTTAACTTTATACTTTATTATTATACAAGGTGTCTTTAAAGTTATGGACCTAATTAAACGAAAAGGGCCAAGTTTATACCCGTGTACTAGATACTGCCGCACCGATCCAAGAACTTCAAATTTTGACTTAAATTCAGCAGGATAATTTTTTTTCGGAAGTTCTTTTATGATGTCATTTTGGATTTTATCAAGCGATAAACTACTTTTGTATCGTTTATCTCTGTTTTATGCGGAAAACCTACTGATATGAGTAAACATAGTCAAGCAATTACGATTGATAGCAAAAATTTGTCGCAACATTGCTGCAATATTCATATATCGATCAAGGTAGCTGTAAACTCTTCAGTTTCTTCTAGGTTCTCATATATTTTCGAAGTTCTTTTTGACTACGTTTCTTTGATCCTCTAACACTGTCACTGCTGTTTATTAATTATCATTAATCACCACCAATCATCACCACTGAGGTGCACTAAAGGAACCTCCCCGCATGATATACCATTCCTTTCCTATACCTATGGCACACCCTGGGCAACACTCGGCGAGAGCCTTACGTCGATTGGTAAATCCTTTCAGAAATCACCATCGACACAATAGGAAGACGATGATCACAGATCACAAGTTATAGGCGCACCAAAACCGCTGAAATACCCTAGGCAGAAAATATTACCTTTCTTAGCTTCCATTAGCAGATGTATCATGTCAGGCCGAATGATCTTTTTGAGCTCCCTGGTTTGCATTGTTTCCGCCACCAGCGTCCTAAAGAAGTTCTGCACCGACTTCGGGAATAGGGTAAACGGGAATATCTATAGACATAATTAAATACATTAAATGAATGATTTATCTACCAAAGTTAACATATTCAATGTAAAGCAATTCGACAAACCGTTAGATGAACAGGTCCACTTAGTAAACATTCGACTATTATGTAATCATCAACGTAAAACATAAACGACCCCAGGGAATGACTAATTTGTGTTTGCGACATAAAAAGTGATAACAAATTTATTTAGATTTTTATCTCTAGGGAATAATTTATCAAAGTTGCAGTATTGTTTTTTTTTAAAGTTGGACGCAAAGAGCAGACGAGTCACGTGACGACGTGACGTAGACGAGCCGGGTGGTGGCCATCGTGGTCCATAGATATTTGCAACATCAGATGAGCTGATATACGTTGCCAGCTTATGACTCGCTTTTTGAAGAACTCCATGTATACTCCAATAACATGGAATGCGCGAAGGAAATACTCCATTAGGAAGATCATCCACATCTTGCAGGTTCGAGGATGGAAAGGCCATAACACCTTTAGGTGATTGTAATATTTTAGATTCTTAATTATTTTCTTTGATATATATCAACTAAAAATATAACCTACGGAACAGAATTTATATTCTGAGATATGAAAATTATCAATAATTTTATATAATAATTACATTATTAATACAAAGATCGAACACTCAGAAAAAATTCCTCGATCTGGCCGGATTCGAACCGACGTCTTCTAGCAAACCGTGGCAGACGCTATGCCAACTAAGCAACGGGACGAACCAGCGGACTTCACGAGTTTTTCTATGTGCTTGCTTGTCGGATCTTTGTATTTTAACATTTTTAGCCGTAGCGCCATCTGTGAGAAATCTATGAAAGTATTTCGTATTATTACATTACATTTGTTTTAGCGCATATTAAGGTTATCTTCATTTTGATCATGTTAGTGACAAATTTATCGCAAACGTTGTTAAAAGACCGCCTGGGCTATTGTGTAAGAACGGAAAGCTTCAAAGTACTCACTTTAGTGAACATTGGAAAAGAAGTGGACACAAAGAACATGAGTATCTGACGGAAACTAAAAGTTGCAGCAACTTTTCCCATTGCGTAAAACTGGTTGTTCTCGTCGGTATGAGAATTTGCTTTCAGACCAAAAGCACAAGATGCAATTACATCATTCGCGTATCTGGTTGTTAGGTCTTTCACATCGACATCGACATCCAAACAACCCTCTGTAAATAAAAGGATCTATCGGAACACAAATGTTACAGCAGAGTTTATAGTACGTGTATCGGATTTTACTTTTGGGATGTGCTATAGAAATGACATTGATATACTTTTGTTAATATATTAATAAAAATATCATTCCATACGTCTTCGACGACCTTTTCATTTTCTGTTTCAGCTTTTTTCATGAAAAAAAAATGAGGTTCTTTTGTAACACTTATCTGCTACTTATTTCTCACCAATCACCCTAACATTCAACTGCACTGTACTTACGTTTAGACTCCTTGATTTTCTTCTTAACCGAGAAAACCATCTGATCTCCAACTTCAACCATCAGTGGTAGCATCATCTTCATTTTTGAGCTAGTGAAAGCAGGGCTGAGAGTCGATCGCATGTCCTTCCATGCTTGACCTGATGATCAAATATTTTAAAATTGAAGCTGATATTTTGCACAGTTTTCTTCGATATCTAAAAGCCGTTTGTGCGAACTCGTTCGAGTTCGTCACATTTGGGACACTTACATTCTATTGTAATGGTAAATATAATATATATTTTACGATTGCCAATTCATCCGCCAAATCAAAACAGGCCAGTTGTTTATGTTGCTGTAGTTTAAAATGAAAACTTAAGACCTCGTGTTTTAGGAAAAGTTTATATCTGGCAAGATAGTACACATATATTAGAATCTTAATCGCCGTAGCTTCATCAAGAGTCATGACAGGCACGTTACCTTTTAAAGAGATAAGATTTCTTCCAAAAAGCGGGTCAATATCTTCGTTAATGAAATTGTTGTGGTCGAGGAAATATTCGAAGTCTTTGACGCCAATGTTCTTGATCAGCTCGATGTCTCTCACCTGCAGAAACGGCTTTACGAATTGGAACGTGCCGTAGAACCTAATAGAACAATTCTATTATTTTTATTTGTTCTATCAAAAGCTTCATAGACTATTCGGACGATATAGTCTTCGAACGTAATATGCATAATGAAGATTTACTGAGAAACAATACCTTTAAGATGTTATTATTGAAACTAAGGTCAAACAAACATAAAGTAAGATGTCTTGGGAACTAATTAGCCACTCAGGCGCCATAATTTGACCCAAACAAACCACCTGCCTCTCTTCTTCCGTTCCAAAGATAATAATAATAATAATTGTATACCTTCAATCGTAGGTGGATCTACGTACATAAATAACGCGATTCGAATAGAAACAATTGGACGTAGTTATAATAAAAAGATCCAAGTCACACTTAGGGCCAAAATGAGTTAAGTATACCACGTGATTCACCATAGCCTGTTCTTTCATGCCAGAAAGACTCGTGTCGATATCTCTAATATTGGCGAAATTATAAGTATGTAGCATTTTGAAAAAAAAAAACGCAATTTACTTAGAAATATTTTTAATGAACGATCCAGGTGCCCTGGACTCTCATTCAACAACATAGACATGATCCACTTGAGTATGAATCGTTCTTAAAAAATATTAAACTATGCAATATGATGGCCAATAAGATTCAAATAAACTTGAATAATTTTGTTTTTATTGTTTCTTTTTTAACAAAAATGCACCAATGTAACTTGTATAGTGTTGGCTTTATAAAATTTTGAAACAATAGGATCCAAAGTACCTTGGATCGTTTTGATTATTTTTTTAATCGGGAGAGAATGTTCCACTTACGTTCAAATTTTAAAAGTCACCTTCCAAATTTTCGTTTCGTGCCGAGTGTGCCGCGACCAATGGCCGCGAAATTATATCGCTATGCCAAACATAACCATGGAAAGATCACATCTGAGTTTAAAACATTTTGACAGCTCTGCACGGTAATTTTATCAACGTAGAATTTGAGCACCACAAACGAAATGAACAGAAATAATAAATAAAAACAGGTCGTTACATATTAACTATTGGAAAAAGGTGATGAGAAATCGACTGCGATAAATATGTCGAAAGGTTTATCATTATCGCATGCGATATATCGCCATGCTACGTAATAAACCTCCCCGCGACATATTTATTGCAGTCGATTTGTCCTCGCCTTTTTCCAATATTCACCTAGCTTCTAATAACACAAGTTATTGTATGTATGAGTAGAAGGTGAGGCAGGTAGAGAAGCACAGAAAGTTGGCTAGTGTCTTTTATGGCATATTAATAACGAATTGGTGGTGGGCATCGAAGACCTTATACTATGGAGTGAATCACGAGGAGGTCATAATAGGAACATTAAATTGGTATTGATGCTAAAAGTGGCTCTGGACACTGACCTTAAAAACGATTCGCTATCGCTATTTGGAACCTGGGCATAAATTTTTGCCTAGTGATACAGGTTTTTGAACAATTGAAGTAGCCTTGAAACACGTTTGACGTCTTTACACAATCGAAGAATTATGGATATTATGAAGACGTGTACAAAAGCAAACCCATTAAAGTAATGCGACCATTCGCATCATCAGAGTTCTTGGGAATTGTAGGTACAAATAGAAAAGGGTATAAAGAATCGAAAAGTGTTCGAAAATAAAGATTCTGGTTGATGTGGCTGAAATTGTATTAATAATTTAACAATATCTTATCATTAAAACCCAAATTAATAAAGCACAGAACACAATTTAAAAAAGTGTCGAAAAAACATTACTTGCGGTGGCGAATGTCGGAAAATTTCTTGAGACTTTAGGATAATTAAATAAGTCAAGTTTTTTTAAACAAACTAATTCTTGAAGTAACTGGTCTTCGATTTAGTGAGAAAAAATAAAGAAAAAGAATTTTCAAATATATTTAAATGCGTCCGAATAATGTAAAAAAATTGCATTTTTCGCGAAATATCCAGGTTAAGTATGCAATTTTTGTTACTGTACAAAATGGTAAAGTTATGTTGGAATGTATTGTTATTATTGTTCAAAACATAGGACAATTAACCGAGATTACTCAAAATTCTTAAAATTGCAATTATATTCATTTAATTCAAATAAAACAATTAATGTACACTTTTTGCTCATTTTGGATCATTTTTGCAAAATCAAAAATAATCGCAAAAGTTTTTTTGCCATACAAAATTAAAATGGTTCTAATCCTATTTTTTTTTAAAAGCTACCTTAATTATGGAATTTACGAAATGTTTGGTAATTGATGTGAAACTATATAGTGAAAACTTTAATTGGACGAAAAAACAATGAAGATCGGTTGAGAATTCAAGCAGCAGTTAAAATTTTAAACTTTCGAAAACTTTAACTTCCATTTTCTCGATACTTACCAATTGTGACTTGGATCTTTTTATTATAACTACGTCCAATTCACGTATTTATACCTTCAGTCATCGCGAAATTGACCCAAATGTTACTTTTGAAAACCAAAAATTAAAATTTAATTAATGTTCAGATCGTCTAAATTTTGGAGGTGTTTTTTTCGTTTAACTGTAAAGATAATTTTGATATACTTCGTTAATCTTTTGATGATAAGACTTGTAATTAGCGATTGTGATAGGTCGTCAAGGATCTAATTCAGTGTCATCGATAAGATAATGGATACTCCGTGAATTTTTTTGATTTAAATTAACATCAACATTTTTATTGCTGTAAAAGTACCTCGTTGAGTGAAGAAAAACTTTCATAGATTTCTCACAGATGACGTCTCGGCAAGAAAGTCGTTAAATGACAAAAAACAAAGATCTGCAACAAACACTTGGAAAAATTCGAGAGGTCGTTCGTGGTTCGTTTCGTAACTTAGTTGGCATAGCGTCTGACACGGTTTGCTGGGAGATGTCGGATCGAATCCAACTGAATTTTTCTAAATATTCGATCTTTGGTTAATAATTATAACAAACTAATGGTCTAATATCATAAGAAATAATTTAATATCTGGTGTTGCAAAATCCTGACATTCACTCTTCTTTATTTGTCAATCGATTAAATTAAACAAACATTAAATGTTAATCAACCTTATCTTAATACATCACTGAATACCACGTCCTAATTAGTTCTTTCTTCTTCTTTCTAAACGTTCTCAACCGTATCGGTGTAGGCCTCCTTCAGTTTCTGCCACTTCTCTCGGTTCTGTTATCACAGATGTCACTAAACGCGTAACTAACCTAACGTGGCGGTGGGTGGGTCACGTTTTTCGCAAGCTTGTTAACAGGTGTAAAGCGGTCCTCGAACGGCGTCATTGGCGTAAAAAACGCCCCAGAGAGAGACTGTAGATGCGTTAGAAGGGTAACATAAAGAAAGTGGCTGAGCTGAATTGGATGCAGGCCTCTCAGACCATGCTAGCATGTTAATTTTGTACTTACCTTTCACCCGAGTGTTCGTTATAAGCCCGAGTTATTTGTTCACTGATATGCTCTCGCTGTGTCAGAGTATTGTACATCGTGCCAAAAGGCGGGATGATTCGAGGTGTCTTTACACCCCGCGTTTTAAAGAAACTGTAAGCTTGGCGGAAGTATAGAAGTAATGCAGCCACGAGGCAACCCAGCCATATCAAGACCAGCATCTGTAAAAAAACTGTATAATAAACATTGTGTTTAAAGCCTGCAATAGATGTTGGTTGAGCCTAGGCCAACGCGAGACTACAGAGTCTACAAATTTGACAAGTTTGCAAAAGAGCAATACAAACGGCCAATGTAGACGGATTTTTCGGAGCTGCTCACACGTAGGGGGCGCTGTCAGTTTTCATTGTGCATTGAAACATGGACAACGTAGAAGTTATTGCAGCTGCTGATATTTATTTAATGAGCACGTATAATTATTATAATCAGTGTATTTTTTGTCTTTTTTTTTGCAATAAACTTGTAAAAAAGACAAGGTGTAGAAATTATTTAGTACAGATATACAAAAACTGGGGGCCCGATTCTCATGAGATAGTGAAAGTTTCACAGTAGAGAAACTACGAAAAAACGACAAATGCCGATCGCAGACGCTCTTTACTATTCACATAACCTTACGGTGAACATGAGTCTACTCTTGTAGCTATACATAGATATAGGAAAGAGCTATATAATAATATGCAACGAGTGGTCATAGTCAATCAGGATTGACAACGAAGCGGTTGCATTCTCTTAGCTATGGCAAAATTTTAAAGACGTCTTTATTAGATATGTTCAGAATACTGTTGATAAAAATGCATGCACCAAGGAAAATTTCAAAATCTTTCGACCAACTTATTATTACTATTGATACCAAAATTAAACATTAAAATTTGTTGAACAATATATCGTCGCTGGAAAGCAATAATAACCCGCAATACCTGCAAAAATGCTTTTTTCGCATATTCTTCCTAAGTTTTTTTTTCTGCTTCGATTGGTCTGGGTCTCATGTCTCTAAAATGAAAAATAAACTCCGGACAGCATAACTTTTTTAACGCTTTTTTCTGATTAAGGAATTTTAAAACGATTTAACCCATATAAAATCCAGTGTTTTTGCGAAATGTGCGTTACATCAAGAACACGTAATTAATTTTTTTTTTGTGCCTCTGATTAACGCATTTTTGCGTTCCCTTATATTAAAATTGTACCACTTACAGCATTTACTTACGATATTTAAAAACAAATATAAACAAGTACAGAACTACTCCTTACGTCATTTTATCCTTCCCTCGATTAATGACACCGCGATTTGCAGCAATCTTTAGAGACTACGCATGCAGCAGTGAGAGTACTTGTGTGTGTTGTCCGAGGTTTTTTATAGCAAAATCGAAAGTATTTATTCAATTATTATTGAAAATATCATTTATTTTCCTTATTTTATTTTATTACTTATTGTATTTAATATCATTTATTTACGCAGACCATAAGAGTCAGATATTAATGAACTACGTAGGACTCATAAACTGCATTTATGATTCTTACGTACGTATTTGCAAAACGATGCATTTAAATTATAGTGAAATTCACTCAAATCACCATGATTAAAGTGATTTTATTCGACTGAGAAATTCTACAAAACTCAAAGTTATTGTGATATATAGGTATGTTAATATGTTTAGGTGATTATTATTCACTAAGTCACTAAAACGGATTTAGATACAATACTGCAAACAAGCCATTTTCTGGATACATACATATATCTCTCGCCGTTCCCCCATCGGGGAAGGCAGCGCCATGTTTATACCTGTAGTGCGTTTCCATCTTTTCATGAAGATTTTTCTCACTTTACATAACAGTAACCATAATCATATATTCTGCAAACTCATGTATCACAAAATCTTATTTCTAGATAGCATAAACCCTGGCACAGCCAATAGCACTATCTACTACTACATATCACAAAGTTTAATTAATATTAAAATAGATACAAAACTACACCAAGAAGCTCCGTGACATTACATCAAAAGATATGCAACAAGCCCAACTCAAAACTAGTCTACAAAAGTTTATGATCTGACGCCCACGATTAGAAACCCTGAGAAAAAATTATTCAAAGTATCTACTGAAATGATGATAGAAAATGTGTACTTTCAAAAAGACCAATAATGCAGAAGCTGGTTGCAGTTCCCGAACCTAACCTTCAATTGACCAGTTACCACCCGAAAGTATCAAAACCGGGTTGCAGTTCATGGAATATGACAAAGAATTACGACACTATTTAAAAGATTTCTTAGAATAATAACGCATAGAAACCTAGTCCGCACACGCTTAGTGAGGCAAATTGAAGCGCTCCCAAAGGGCCTACTCGGGCGGGCCGTCAGTGCTCAAGGTCAACTTGCACCGCGAACAGCTCAAGATTTTAGCTAAAAATGACGAAATGTGCGGTAAATGAGTGTAAAAATACGTCAGACAAACATAAAATAGATACTAACATCACATTCCACAAGGAAGTAACGCGTTTCATATAAATATAAATATTTTTATATAATAATAATAATAAATTCTTTATTTAAACAGAAAAGTTACATGTCATTGTATGCCCTGGCTTCCGAGCTAGGTTCAAAGACCTGTGTTACGGAAATCAGTGTCTTCTCATAATTAGTGACACTTATTTATTTCTGGCAGTTAATGTATCTGCTATTAATATAACATTTACTAATATATATATACGTATATACATATTTATGTGTGTTTGTTTGTTTGTGTGTGTGTATGTGTGTTTGTGTGGGTGGGTGTGTGTGTGTGTGGGTGTGTGTTTGTGTGTGTTGGTGTGTATATTATTTGATACGCTGATGTGTGGAGGAGCTATTTTTACGTGTTATTAATACTAGTTTTATCGTAATAGTAGTAATTCAGTTTGATTGTAATCAAGAGCCTGAAGGAAATGCGTTACTTTACGTTTCGTTTCGTATGTCGATAATGGGTAAATATTAAGAATTGAATTTATTTTATTATATAAACACGTGGACATATATCGACATTGTTGTCTAGCAGTGGTTGTTCGACATTTTATTGGTGGACAAACATTTCTTATAGTGCGTTTATTTTTATAGTTTTTGTGATTGTAAGGGGTGTTTTTATGGTGTTTTACAATTACTTGCAAGATATAAATTTTTCTGACAGAGAGCACTTTGCACGTTTCATACAGAATTTTTGTGGGACATCGATAGGGACTAAATGTCATTACTTTTAATAAAGATCTTTGTGCTATTTCTAATTGTTTTATATAAGTTTTACAAGCACCACCCCAAGTCCCAATACAATAACTTAGCACCGATTGTGCCAGTGCAAAATAAATTGTGCGCAACAGGTTTAGATCACTAACATGCCTTAACTTCTTGAAAACCCATATGAGTTTCCTGACTCGAGAGGTGATATAATCTATATGAGTACTCCATCTTAACTTATCATCCACCATTACACCTAGATATTTCACCTTGGTTGATTTAATAATAGAAGTACATGTACAGTCAGAATTACAAGGTATGCCACAGGTGTGGATTTTAAGGTCGACGTTAGTACGTTAAACTTTGTCAAGAGCAAATTGTAAAAAAGTTGTTTTTGATACGTTTAGAGTAAGAAAATTCATCCTCAGCCAGCAGCTAACTTTTTGGAGTCCTATCACAGCATTTCGGCAAGCTTCGTTCCAAGTCCCTCCATGAAATACTAAGGCTGTATCATCTGCAAATGTAAATATTTTGCCATTTATTAGGGACTGATGACACAGGTCATTTATATAGATTATGAATAGACTTGGCCCGACAACGCTACCTTGCGGAACTCCAAAAAGAACAGAAGCATCGGTACTTTGATGTTCACCAATTTTTACTCGTTGTGTTCTCCCACATAAGAAATCCCTGAAGATCGTAAGAGCACTACCCCTCACACCAATATGATACAACTTGTTCACAAGCATGGGAATCGAAACTGTGTCAAATGCCTTGGCAAGGTCCAAAAATACGCCAACACACTAAAACCGAAAATTAACCTACTACTAAAACTAGCCTACATGAATTTGATTTTTGCCTCACTTGTGATAGTTCGTTTGATATGAAACTATCATTCTATGCGTTATTATTCTAAGGAAGATTATACCTTAGTACCTTATTATTAAAAAAAAAATTAAAAATTAAAAATTAATATTAATATTTTTTTTTGATTTTGAAGTTTGCTTAATGGATGAATATAGTTTGGTTTTAATTTAAATTATAATCATGATAAAATGTCTCTATATATTTATAATTTTCGTTCATTACTACTAGGTAATGAATGACGAGGAATAGGGATGGTTTAATTGTTATTGAATTAATACTAACACGTAATAATTTTAAATCTTTAACATGTAGATAATCTTTTTCCTTGTAGATACCAGGCAATAAACTAAAATTGAAAATATGAGAACAGAAAATGAAAAACTAATACCTAATTAAGAGTAAGATTAGTTGTTGATTATTATTCTTTTATGGAATTTATAATTCATCAGTTCTAAGAACGATGTAAAGAAAGATGTAACACAAAGTGTCAATGATTTCGTTTTATTGTGTTAAATCTCCAATATTATAATTCGATTTGTTTAATTGTACTCATTGTGACCAAAGTCTTTTTCACAAATAGCGGTTCTTTTTAATAATAAACATTTTAAAAGCCATGTAAATTGCATTTGATTTTCACTAACACCATTTCAATGTTACCTGCTTTGGTTTAAAAAGTACTCTTACAGCAGTATTGAATTCCGTACGTCTTCAAGAAGTTAACATTTATAGATTAAAAATGTGTTAAGGAGCTCTAATTCATTTACATCACTCTTAGAATACCATAAATGGACGGCATTAATCGTACCTTCATACAAATTAACTTGAAAGTTACAGCGTTCTTTGGGGTCAAAAACTGAAAATCAAATTGTCGTAACCCACATAATCGTCAATAGGACTAGGACTATTTCAAATCCGAGTTTATTGTTAAGAAGTCCTATTTTTTATAGATTTATTTGTTAAATTTGGCACAAAAAACTAAAACACAATAGACTAGCTGTTCTTGACAGTCTTCTTCATAAAGTCTCAATTTCATTTAAGGGGCAATGTATACCCGCTTACGCGATTCGCCTTCCTACCGCAAAATGGCGGCTATT